GCGCGTGCGCATGTCAGAGCGGCCCTGGGGCCCCGGGCAGCGCCGCCTCGCGTCCCACCCAGGGCGTTTGCGAATCTGGGCCCACGCGGGGTCCCCAGGACTCGGAAATCAGCCCTGATTCAGCTGCTGACAGGGGTGATTCCACTGCTTTCCTGGTCCAAACCCACCCGAGCACCCTGTTATCCCAGCTACTCAAGCGGCTGAGGCAGGAGGATCTTCCGGGCAATTTAAATCTCAAAAAATGCGAAGGGCTGAGCTGTAGCTCCAGGGAGGAGCGCCTCTGAGCTGGATCTGTGAAGCCAAACCCCCACGGTGGCTGCCCATAGCAAGTGGGAAACAGCGACAGAGCCAGGGCAATCCTGAGGTCGCTCTGCCTCCCACGTGTGTTCCTAGGATACCTCACTCTTTTGGTCAAACTTCAACTCACCCTTCAAAACCCCACCTCCAATGCCCTCTTCTTCAGGCCGAGCCCAGCTTTCTCTCTGCTCCCCATGTCCATTTTGTCCCACCTCATCCTGACTTCACCTGAAAGCATTTGGGTCCTATTCTGTCTCCTCCAGACAGGTCGCAGCTGTTTCCCCAAATGCTGGGCCCTGTGGCCTCCCCTTTGGCTGTGGTGCAGCTTCACAAGCTTCCACTAAAACAGGTACAGTCGACCTCAGGACCTTTGCACCCACCACTGTGGCTGCCACAGCTCCTCACCAATCCCTCCCGTTCTCACACCTTATGCCCATCCTCCACCTCTTTCTGCCTCCCCTTTCCTTTTGTTTTTTGTTGTTGTTTTGTTTTGTTTTGTGACAGTATCTCACTCTGTAGTCCAGACTGGCTTCAAATTTGCAGCAGTCCTCCTGCCTCAGCCTCCTAAGTGCTGCACTCACAGGCACCACCATTCCCAGATATTGAGCATTAAAAAAAGAAAACCCATATAAATCTTTTTTAGGTTACCTGGACTTGCCAGCCCTTGGAGAAAGCATTTAGTGGATTACAAAGGATCAAGATTTAGCCAGGCGCAGAGGTGCACAACTGTGGTCCCAGCACCCTGGGAGGCTGAGGCAGGAGAGTCACAAATTTTAGCATAGCCTGGGCAATTTAGAAACAGCGAGACCCTGTTTTAAAATTTTAAAGATGTAAAGTGGGTGCAGGGACTTAGCTCAGTGGTTCTGCCACCTGCTTCACAAGTGCAAGGTCCCAAGTTCAATCCCCCGTACCAAAAAAAAAAGATTTAAAGGGCTGGGGTTGCAGCGGAATATGGAAGTCCCAGATTCCAACCCCAGTGGCGACAAATCCTAGGACAGCTGAGGGCCGGCCCTGTGCTCCCTGGAGGGCCGGGCCCTTGTTTACAGGCAGAAGGAAGCCAGCTCCACGCTGCCCCCGGGGGACTCAGTGGGAGGTCACCCTCTCCAGCCATGGAGACAGCAGCTGTGGGCCAAGGACCGGAGCGCTGTTTACCAAGTATCCAGTGACACACCTTGCCCGTGTCATTACCCTGCACAGGCGCCCCGTCACCACTGTTGACAGTGACAGGAGGCCAGCCCCCGCTTCCCATTTCTGTGAGGGGCCCTGGGGCCCCTGTTCCTGCCACCCCTGGGCCGGCTCGGCACACCCCAACCCCGCTCTGGGCCCTGGGCAGCGGCTTCCTCCTGTAGAATGGGCTGGGTGCTCACCTGATACCGCGATACTGAGTAGGTCACTCGGTTACTTTAACTTTCGGGTAAACTGTGAATCCTTTTTTGCTTAAGAACAGGTACATCCCGACACGTGTGGTGGCGCACACCTGTAATCGCAGCACTCAGGGAGGCTGAGGCAGGAGGATCGCTGCGAGTTCAAGACCAGCGTGGGCTCACAGTGAGTTCCAGGTCAGTCTCAACTACATAGTGAGACCCTGTCTCAAAAAAACAAAGAATAAGTACATCCCACGCAGCACTCGCCCCGGCTGCCATATGGGATATACTTGCATTACCCAGAAAAATTTAAACTGGGTGCCTTGGTGCACATCTCAGCGCTCTGGGAGGCTGAGGCAGGAGGGTCCCAAGGTCAAGCCCATCCTAGTCAATTTAGCGAGACCCTGTCTCAAAATAAAAACGACTTACAAAAGGGAGGGGAGGTAGCTCAGTGGAAATGCCCTAGGTGCAATCCCAGTACTTAGAAACAAAACCAAACACACAGGGCCTTGGTGGACTGAGGTGAAGGAGCGCGATTCCGTCCGGGCTGTGGGGGGTGGGGGGGTGGTGCCCCCCGCCCTGCCTGTGCGCACCCAGAGACTTTCCCTGACCCCAGACCTCCCGCTGGCCCGGCCCTGGAAGCCGGGCCGGAGTGGCTGCCTCAAGGGCAGCAGGGGCCTTGACCTTCACAGCTCAGGCCGGGTTTAGGCCGGTTGGGCCAGACAGGCGTTGGCTGAAGTTTCAGGGAGCTGGGGCCGCAGCCCGGCCCAAACGCTATGATAGGGGAGAGAACCCAGACGGCTGAGTTTGTGGACAACTTCTACAATCTCAGGACTCTCACAACCATGGCCCTGTGGTGGACTGATGAGGGGTCCAACCCTCCGCAGGGGGGACTGGGCATGCGGGATCCAGCCAGACGATGGGGGAACTCTGAGGCCACCCCAGCCTCCAGGGGAGGAGCCCGGTGGAGGCTGAGCCCACTCAGCGAGCCTCCAGAAGGCCCTTGTGGTGGTGCACACCAGTCATCCTATTATTCTGGAGGCTGAGGCAGGAGGATCCCTTGAGCTCAGGAGGTTGAACCCAGCCTGGGCAACATAGCAAGACCCTGTCTAGAATAAAATGTACAGCAGGGCGTGGTGGCACACGCCTGTCATCCCAGCTCTCAGGAGGCAGAATCAGGAGGATTGTAGGGGAGTTCAAGGCCAGCCTGAGCTACATAATGAGAGCAAGGTCAGCCTGAACTGCAAAGTGAGATCTTGTCTCAAAAAAAAAACAAAAAATGAAAATAAAATAAAATGTACAAAGGTCAGAGGTTGAGGGTTTGCTTAGCACATGTGGGACCCTGGGCTCCATCTTCAGCACAGCAAAATAAATACATAGATAAAGGGGGGGGGAGACCCACATAGGCTTTTCTCACAAGAAGACCTGCAGCCAGGCATGGTGGAGTGTGTCTGATCCTGGCCACTCAAGAGGCTGAGGCAGGAGTACAGCCACACGGTGTGTGAGACCCTGTATCCAAATAAAAAATAAAGGCCGAGGATATAGCTCCACTGGGTCTAATCTCCAGTACTGAAGAAAGGACACTCATGTGGCCGGCGGCTGTTCAACAGCCCCAATCATGAGGAGAACGCAGGCCACAGCCAGGGCAGATCCCGTTTCACCCCATTAGTGACTCCTCCCTGAAAGACAGGATGAGCACCGGCCAGGACGGGAAGAGAACCAGGACACCGTGCTGCTGGAGATGGGAACTAGCACAGCCACTGTAGATCACACTGTGACCCAGCACTCAGGAGGCTGAGGCAGGAGGATCGCTGTGAGTTCGAGACCAGCCTGGGCTACATAGTGAGTTCCAGGTCAGTCTCAACTAATAGTGAGACCCTGTCTCAAAAAACCAAAACAAATAAATAAAC